GATCTGGATGAAATCAACACACACACACACACACACACACACACACACATTGTTAAACAGGAAGCAACCAAACATGTAATTGATGTGGAAATGGGGGGAGGTGTGAGGAGTGTCTGAGGGTCCATTTGTGTGTCTGATGCTGTACTGTACAACAAAATGAGCAAAACACAGTACAGTACAAGTACAGTAAATACATACTTGTATTCGGAGTCCATAGTTCTTCTCTACATCACAGTCGCACACATTCACACAGGATGTCAGGTTGATCTCTCCGTCCACATCATCTGACTGCACCACAACAAGAAGAGCTTAAATTTAGTCAAATACATTTCTAACCCAAACACCAAAGAAGAATGAGTGAAACTGAAGATATTCACCACGTTATGGTGGCAAAAGCGACAACCCTTTCAATTTATTGTATGTAGATTGAAATGAATAAACCACTTTCACGTCACATATCTGGTCCTACCTCCTCAGCCTCCGAGTCTCTGTAGTACCTCAGCGACGTATCACTCAGAACAAACCAGAGTTTCCTCCACTGAGCAAAACACAGTAAACATTGACAAAATTAAATTAAATTGTTGTGTTTGTGTTATATACATCTACTGACATTGTCATTACTATAGTATGTGAGATTCTTTAGATAGTTCAGGGGTCAAGTCTTGATCTGTACTGTCAGGGTGCATGAGATTGTGGTTACAGCATAAAGATAGCTTAAAAAATAAATATATATATGTATATTAGAAGAACAACTTCATAAACCATTTACCTTGCCTTGTTCATCTAGTCTGGACATCCATCCCTTCAAGTAAGAGCATCTGCAATTAAAGTATTAAGAGGAAGCTCTTTGAGTACATTCTGTAGTGGTTTCTGTCTCACACTTCACTGTGAAACTAGAGGAAACGGAAACTGTCAGAGGCAGACAACGTGTCTTTGTGAGATAACTACATAATTCATGCAGAGAGAAGCATAAAAAATGGGAAATATACTGCAGAACGAGAACGTAAAAACAGGAAGAGGTGTAATTGTTTCAAACCCTGATCGTCACAGTTAAACGGTGGAAAACAAGAGAAGAAAGAGGAACTGATGAAACATTATTAGACTGACTTAAAAGCAAGCAGGTGCTATTAAAGCTTGTTAACACAAAATAACATTAAATACTTACCATCCATGCACCATATTGTCCAGTGTGAGGAGAAGAGAAAGAAACAGACATTGACAGTGAAGAAAATGCATGGTGTGAATTGAAATGAGGAAGTCACAAATGTGAGATCCCACACATCAGCTGAAATGTTGTATCAGGGTTTCTGAACTACTGCAAACTTTTGCATGGTTGTATGTGATTCACAGTTACATTTTGAATGTTATATTTTGTGACTATTCATCCCTCAGCGTTTGTTGACTCAGTGGTTTTAGGCATGACACTGCAGGGCTGATACTGCAGAATACATTGGTTTGAACCCTCCTAGAATCTATTTATAAAGATGATAAATCATATGCACATGCTGCCCTAAAACATAGAGTGCTAAGTAATGTCTTTTTTCCTGCAAGTTGCTTCCGTGTGAGGGGCGCCTGGGGTAAAAGAGCTGAAATAAATATCAGGGAGCTACTTTAGAATGAATGTATGAATGACCCATTTTCCTCGAAACACTCATGTGATTTATACAGATGCAGAAAGTCATGGGACTGTGCTCACCTGTGTCTGTGGGCGTTCAGTAGGAGCTCGCTCCTTCACCTTTGAAGATCTGTGTTTTCCACTTCGATCATCTGAACTCTAGGATACAACACACAGACAGGATTAGAAGTTCTGTTGTTTCAACATGGATTTTTATTGTGAACACGTCTGCAGTTATTGCATCGTACTTGTGTATGAACAGATGCGGATGACTGTCTCCGAGATGATCGTCCGTTCTCAGAGTCCCGACATTTCTCTCGTCTGTCTCTGCCTCTCTCTCTGCCTCTCCCCCTCTCATCTGACTCAAGCCTTGAACTGTAGATGTCTGTTTCATCTTGATACCTTTAGACACAAACATATATTTAAATCTTTGACGCAAACACACTATAGGCACAACAAAAGCTTGAAGAGCACTCCTCTTTTATTAAGCCATAACTAAAGCAATTACTTATAGTCAACAGCATCAAAGTAATTTGTTCCCTGAACTTCCAGCCACCAAAGGAGCACTTTACAGAAATGCATACACTAGGAATGCATGCTTGTGGGACTTCTGTTACAGCTATCTGAGGTCAATGCTGTACCATGATACCATACGGTACCACCAACCTGTAAGTCCTCAGCTTCTGGTCCCTGCATGGGCTGGGACTCTGGTTCCTCCTCCTCAGCCCTGGAATCTCTTCCTCTGACTCCAGCTGGATCTTTGGAATATCAGCCAGGACAATGTAGTCGTCTATGGTCATCGTCACCTCAGATTCATACAGATTTATCAATAGTTTACAAGATATGTGGCAGGGAAAGTTTTGTCTAACATAAAACATAACAAGACTAATAACAGTCTACAATCATGCTAGTCACTCTGTGAGGCTGTGCTTAGGCATAATGTTGCTTTGAGCTAAATGCTAACATTAGCATGCTAACATGTTGACTGTATTAGTTCACCAACTTATTTTAGTGTGTTAGCATGCTAACATTTGCTAATTAGCATCAAACACAAAGTATGGGGATGTCCTTTTTAAAAATTTCATTAACAGAAGTATTGAACAAAATATAAATTTGACCTGATAGAGGTAAAGTCAAGGGATCACCAAAGCCAGTAGGTCTGTACTACATTTCATGGCACTCCATCCAATAGTTGTTAGTCCAGTAGACTAAAGTAGTTGACCGACTGTAAGACTGACAGACCGACATTATCATCCATAGAGCTACTCCGCTAGCTTGGCTGAAAATCGATAATACCTGAAATACATACCTCCTCTGCTTCTACTGCAGCCTTCTTAGGTTCAGAGATAAGTAAGGCCTCCATGCCTCGCCTCATGTTGCTCACACTTCTGCCACCGCAGACCACATTGTTCCCCTCATTGCCCTTATCAGTCTCTGTGATTGCAACATGTGACAGTGAACCACCAAGCCCCTGAGAGTCTGCACCTCGTCTTGATGTGGAGGAACCACGAGAGGGTGGGAGGCTGAGTAAAGAGTGTGAGGACCCTTTCCAGGACTCTTGAGAAGGACTCAGTCTGCTATCTCTGGAGCAGGGCTCCCTTTGTGGGGTTGGGCTGTGTGTACTATAGCCATTCCTGGGTGGTGATACTTCACGGCTGTTGTGAGAGCGAGTGTTGGCCAAGCTGTTGACAGCTGTTCTGATTCGTGGAGATGCTTGAGATCCCTCATATGACTTTTGCTGGATGGCAGAGGATGCACGGCGTGAGATAGACTCCAGATTCCTGTAGAGTTTCTCAGAGTCCAAGCTGTGTTTGTTTGAAGCTTGTGAAGCACTCCTTGACTCTCGACTGCATCCCTTTTGAGCCTCATATTCACCGTTCTGTAAATGGTAAGAGTCCGTGTGCCTGTGAGAAGGGGTGGCTCTAGAGGGTGAGACCATCCGAGAGGCAATGGACCCTCTCCTTCGGGATGGACTGGACCTGCCAGATGTATGCCGAGAAGCACCATGTGATGGAAGCTGAGAGGAGCCATGAGAGGAGGCGTGAGACCGGGCCTGACTCCTGGAGAGGGAGCTCCTTCGCTGGGTTTCCACAGGAGATTCAGTTAACTTGTAGCGGTCTGGGCTCACAGAGCTGTGACGTGTTGGTGAATTCCTCTCTGAATCAGTTCCTCGCCTAAAGTTGGAGTGGTATGTGTATCTCTCTGGGGATTCACTTCTCCAAACTTCCAGCATGTACGTCTCTGGGTTCCTCCTCTGGGAAGGCACGCCAAGGTTGACATTCCTGTAGGGGACGCAGGCTTTGGGCTCAAGAACATAATTGCTTGGAAGAGGATGCCCCCTTTCATAGTAACGATACCGCCGTTTGTTGGTTTCCTCCATCTGCCGCTCACCATCACTTTTTCTGTCTGGAGAGAAGTAGCCACTCTCTTGTCCCCTGTCTCCTCTAGACTCTGAAAATCATACAAGCTTGAGGTCATTGCACTGAATTGGTAGTCTGTAAGAGAGCAATAGCACAAGTCAAGATTGTCCTCTGTACATTTGAGGAACCAACGTGTGTGCATCTGTGACTATACCTGATGCCCGACGGGACCTGTCTCTGCCCCTCCTCTCATCCATCCAGGATCTTTCAGTGCCACGGTGAGGAGAAGGGTCCAACCGGGTCATATCTCTTTGGGCCACGCAGAGCCTCTCTGGACTGAGGGATCTGCTCCTCTCTGGACAGTCACACTGATTTGGAGAGCTGAAGCAGGGTAGTACAATGTCAATGATATGTAGATGAGGAAGCTGTAGTCTGTTTACCCTACTATTTCATGTCAAAATGGCTGCTGTGAATAAGGTCTATTGTAAAATATGTTATACTGGACTGTCAGTTGACCTTGTGACCAGGGAGAAGGCCTACAAATGATAATATAAGTTGGTTTAACTAACTTACGAACTAGTTAACTAGTTAATGCATGACAACAAATGGACAAATGGGTGAAAGTATAATCACAGGCAAAGCCTCATGTGTGACTTGGTCCGCTTTAATGACTGCCTCAACAACAAAACTCTGACAGCAAACATAATACATCCCTTCAGAGATATAAATAATCTCACAATCATCTCAGTTTTTCATTTTATTTTATAGCAGCGCAAAGCAACATTTTCTGTACAAATACACCCAATCTGATTTTCCTTAATCAAAACTAGGACTGTAACAGAAAAGAGCTCAATTGAGATCCATTAGATTTGCCCTGTTTGCCCAAATGAAATTTACAACTGAAACACAAACTGTCGGATGCCACTGAGCAAACAGTACTCACTAACGTTAGATAGTGCCTCTGTAATCCTTTGATATCCAGCATCACAAAGCAGCTTTATTGGTAGACGTGTAATGTGTGCAGCTTGCAGACAAAACATTATAAAGCTTGTGTGTATTGAAAGAGAGAAACATTCACATGTTTAGGTCTGCCAAAATGTGAATATGTCTGTAATATAAGCTTTGTGCTGATTAATCCACTGTAACATGATATGGACATGATTTGAAGGAGAAATTACATTCAACAGCAAAAAACTTAAAGGTCCAGTGTGTAACATTTAGGAGGATCTATTGGAAGAAATTGAACAAAAATGGTTGCCATGAAGGTCATGTTTCATTAGTGTTAATCAGCCTGAATATAGGAATCGTTTGTGTTTTTGCTACCTTAGAATGAAGCGTTTCTATCCTACAGAGCGGCGCGGGTCACCTTCCATGGAGGCCGCCATGTTGAACTGCCATGTTTTCTTAACAGGTAGCCCGAAGGGACCAAACCCCAACACTGGCTCGCTTGCTTGGAAAGGGAGGGTGAAGCAAATGAGTTGTAATTTGCAACTACACCACTAGATGCCACTAAATCCTACACACTGGACATTTAAAGCAACATACATTTTGTCCACTCGGGGGCAGCAGAACAAGCTAAAAACACAACACTGACACATTAATACCTTACGAAGTTAATATGACAAACAGCTGCTTTAGACACAGAGTAAGAGCAACAAGAGCAGCCTTACCTTTAATTTGGAGTTGAGTTTCTGGCCACCTGATGAATGTTCACTCTCCTTTTAACTCTGTGTTTGGTATCCACCAATTCCTGAGAGCTGGCTCTTTAGCTGGTATATGCTGTGCTATGTTTACCGACTAGTTGCTAACTGTTTGATGTTGGGCAGGTAACAACGTCAGGTTTGTCAGAGCTTTTTCGTGCAAAATGGCTACCTGCTTTGGTTGAAAACAACGCTATGAGACAGC